GCAAAACCGGTGAAATTTTTGTGATTTTCTTCAACATGGGGATTAGTAGAATCAGACAGAGATGATGATGGGGAAGGAAGAAACATCCAGCTTCAGAGATACCCTCAGAGAGTATGGATTTGGGAAAGAAGTTGAACTCTAATGGATAAAGAGGATGGGTCTAGGTTTTTACCAAAAAATTAGCAAGTGGGTTGAATATTAGATTCAAACAAGGAAGGTGTGTAACTTCATGTCAACCAGTGTGGCCATGCAACTTGAAGCTGGCTTGCAGAAGGAAGGATTGAGCAGGAATATGACAAAACCCAGAAATATGTAGGCACTCCTAACAACAAGAACAACAAATTTATAAGCCTTTTTACAGACTTGAGAGAAGGAGGGGAGAATCAAAAACCAAAAACAAACCCAGAGAATGGTGGTACATAGGCTAGGTAAAGGAAATCTTGTTAATCAAACAAGAGGGCAGACCAGGAGGCTGTGACGATCATTTAATGCTGGAGGCTACATTGGCCATGAACTGAATGAGACAAGGTGGGGTTAGTGATGAGCTAATACCATGTTGCCCTCACGTGCTTAGTGTATGCATTAATGTAAAATGTTCGATTACATTTCAAAATATTTCATCTCAAAAATCCTAGTTGTAAAGCAGCCTCTGGGGAGATGATTTATTTGCCCCGTGGAAGTCTAAACTTGGAGGAAAAGACTTAGCAGTCCATCCTCCAAGCTTTTCCTGTGCTGACAGTTTCTGAAAAAGTGAGAGATATTTTCCTTTAGTGTGTTGTGAGAACATAGAGGTAGTATATTTTCTATAAGCAGTTCCCTATTCTGTAATGGTCTCTTCCTATAGCTCCCTTGAGCAGTTCTGTCTGAAAATTTTGAAAGAGATTTTTCTAGTTGTCAACACTTGCGGTTTCTTGGAAGATATCTGTATTTTGAAAAGAACTTCGTGTTTACAGCCCTTTCCATCTCAGAGCTTTGATCCTTGCCCTGGAGGGCTACAAGCTAGAAGAGTGTCCTGCAGACTAGCACGCAGCTGAGCACAGAAGTTGTGTCAGCTTGCTTCGGAACTTCCATATCAATGTTTTTGGTTTTGAAAACAAAAGGTCTTTGCTTTCTGTATGAAAATCAGCTGTCCTGTTGTAGATGAACTAACATTTAGCTCCTTTCTCAGACACTGATGCATTTCAGTACAATGTTCCCAAGTAGAGCAATGATAAATGTCAGATTTGGATATCTGAACCATAGTGGGTTACCTTATTATAGGTGTTGGGTTTTTTTCAAAATGACAGCTAAAAGCCTTGAACTCTCTCTTACGGTGCCAGTGACCCACAAGTAAAAGTAAAAGAAGAGTTTTCAGCATGTGTGGAAGATCATCTGATCACTTTGTGCATCCCTTTGCTTTTTAATATTTTTTCAGGTTTACAAGGCCAGAACATCTAGGAAGCAGTGCCAAAATCAAATGTAGTGGTTGCCATAGCTACCAGGAATCTACCAAACAACTCACTATGAAGAAGTTACCCATTGTGGCCTGTTTTCATCTCAAAGTAAGTTCACAGGAGGCAGACAGAGCAGAGGACATGTATTCCTCTCTCAGAGGATGGGCTAAATTCCTGGACATACTTTCACTGACTAGTCTTCTGTGATGTAAATTAATATAAAGAACAGCTTGCATGCCCAACTAGACTTTCTGTTAAGAGAGTATTACATTATCTATAATGTAGCTTTGCAGTGTGTCTGTGGGAACCTAACTAATCAGCATCTAGAAACAAAATGGAAGGCTAGTATGATACCTGAACCAGCGTAGAAACCAATCTCCAATAACACTTACTCATCCTGCATAGTAAAATTTTTACCCTACACTTCTACTGGAAGAATGCCACAGAGGAACTCTGTGTTGAAGAAAAAAGCATGAAAAAGTTATTGGGTACAATGGAGAAGGCTTCTTGTATATTCCCAACTGTGATATAGTTTTCAACATTTCCAATCCAGAGTATGTCAGATGCAATGATGGGAGATAATGTCATAGTTGGTGCCTTCACATAGTTTAGTTCTGTACAATTTATGTCTTAAATATAAAGGGTATGACTATGGTGCAAAGTAGGCAGCTGTTGCAGAAGATGAAGGTCATTCTGTGTCAAGAGGCAAAGGGTCTTTGAAAAGCAGTGCCACAGGCTTTTGTAGAAGCAGCCACCATAGTAATTTAACTGCATCTTTGATCTGGTTGAGCTTTTCAGATGCAGACCTCTAAGGTCTTGAGTGTTTCCTGGGACAGAATGACAACGTCCTCTCATTGCTAGGCAGTAACGGACGATCACTGGCCTTAGCTCTTACTCTGACCAGTGTTTCAAGAAACTGCTTGTCTGATGGTGATACTAATGTCCCATAAGCTACATAAAGAAAAGCAGCATTTTACCAACCACCGTGGTGACTGGAAAGAGATTTTAAAACAGTAGCCTGTATGCTGTGTACAAATGAAGGCTTGTATCGCTTCTCTTTCCAGTTGGGGAGCGGTGAATTGAAAGAACACGCGCTCCAGCCTTTTGCTCTAGATACTTCGTTCAGTTGTTCAATTCTTACATGGTTTCTAGGCTTTGAACATTGGTAAAACACCTGAGTAACTTTAGTAGTTGTTGGAATTAGACCTTTTATCTTGTAGCCATCCTGGCAAAGTGTGTGCTGAACTTCACTCTAGCGTGCAGGCAGTTTTTCTGGTTTATTTTCCAGTAGCCCTCTAACCTAGGTCAGTACGTTCATACTGGAAAATCTAATAATCTGTGTAACTACAGTGTCATGGTCTCACTGAGCAAGTCACGGAATTGTAGTTTGGAATTGTTAAATTACCTAACAACTCCATATTCAGCGTAGCAGCGATTTAAAATTTATTTTCAAAATCTGGCTTGTACAGAAGCTTGTTAATGAAATGCAGAGATTTTGACATGAAAACAGAATGCCACGGGAAGGTCTGTATTCGTGAGGAAAGATTGATTCTGCTTTCTACTGGAAAAAGGTGTTACAGGTGGAAAGAATTCCCTCTGCTGTAATTTACAGGCCTTTTCAGGCTGTTGGGGAGAATCATGCCTTCAGATGTTCACCCCCATATACCAGCAGTTCTTCAGTTGCATCTTGAGTATTAACCAAGATGATATGCAATGTTACATGCTGAAGATATTAGCCTGACTGGAATAGATAGTAGCACAGTTCCTTTGTTCTTCTTTGGCTGTTCGTGGTCTTCCCAAAGAGCATTCTCGCACGATTGACTTGAGGTTTGAGGAGTGCTTGGCTGGCTGCTTGGCTTTTGGGTGGAGTTTTGGGGGTGTTGGGCTCTTGTTTTTATTTTATTGTATTATTGCAGAGTAGTTGGCGAGGTATACCTAGGTGATTCTGCTCTTTGGGCAAGGCAATGTGAATGTGCTCAATGCCTTTCCTACACTCAGTTCAGTATTTGCGTTATCCAAAATGACTGAAGATTTTTTTTTTTAAATAAATTACTTTTCCAAAGTGATTGTGTTGTCCTGTCTATGCAAAATGCAAATTTTATTTCACGTGTTAAAGTAAAAAAGAAACACAAAAGATAAGAATTACAGCAGTCTCGGCTCTTCACGTCTGGATCTGTTGCTAGGGAATTGTTATGGCACCACAATTGGAAAATAATTAACTTGAAGTGTAAATAGAGCGGAATTTCTGAGAAATGGGGAGAGAAGCTGCCTTTAAATAGAAACTCATTCATCTCTTTCTGGTATTTGTTCCTGTTTCCATTTAATGCTCAATCGAGAAGATGAGGAGAGGATAGTGGGTATTGCAGGCTCCTTTTGGCGGAGGGACGAGACTTTTTTTATTATCATATTCCATTTTTTGCCTTAATTTGAATTGGTATTCCTGTGTAGGCTTGACTCCTGTCACTTGAGATGATTGGATGGGTGGATTTAAGTGTGTGAATCTGATGGCAAGCTCTCATTGTCACCAGTTTTGTGTGCTAGTGTAGGCAGCAGCCATGTATTTGAATAATGCGTAGTACCAATGAACAGTTTTGGGTAAAGGCTATGTGTGCTCTCTCTGTTTAATATATTTTTTTTCTTAATGTCAGTTGGGAATAAGTTTGTATGTATAGATATTAAGGTAAACAATCTAACTAATACTGTATTTTTCCCCCACAAACTGTGGTTTATTTTCCTGGTAGAAATGTGTTAGCATTTACACAAGGGTTCCCAGCCCAGATAGTTGGTAGAAAAAAATCTGGGGTTGTCCCTGGATACTGACTGCTAATATGCTTTCACGTTGTTGTTCCTAAGCTTAGGATATTTATAAAAGACGGAAAACTTAGCCTTTCTCTAAAGAAAAAAAAATTCTTCCACTTTGTCTCCAGCGGTTTGAACACTCAGCCAAACTGAGGCGAAAGATCACTACGTATGTCTCATTTCCGCTGGAGCTGGACATGACACCATTCATGGCTTCCAGGTGTGTACCAAGTTCAAAATCCCCCAAAGACCTGGACAGAACTGTTTACCAGTTCATACATGTGCAGCATGAAACATGGAACATCCTTGAATCAAGGTTATAGAACAGTATGTATAATGATACTTCTGCTGTAAGCTTCTCCTTGAAATGTGCATCTTTTCTAAGCTAATTTTTAGGTAAACTATTGAGTTTTCTGTGCCAGAAAAGGCTTTATATTTAAACATATTTTTTTAATTAATGTGTGTTATGTTTCTGGTTGCATGTTAAGTTTATAGACTCAGATCCATCTCGACTTTGATCCCATCACCTGAGTGCCCACCCATCTATCATCTTGTGTAATTAGGCAAACTAGACATAACCTAATGCTAGGTTAGCCTAGTATTTCTGAAGTCTCTATTCCTGCATACATGCAAATTTGGGGTTTTTTTTTGTCTTGTACCTTCAACTTCTGTTTAGAGAATGCTGCAAGAAGAAAAACATAGCCCAGATTAAAACAAGCATTTCTAATTGGTATTTAAACAGAAACAGTAAGACAGTAAGAGTTCTCCCACCTCCCAGGTTTGTGAAAGACATGACATTCATATAAATATACCTTTATGAAAGGAATTTAATCCGCTCAGTTAACGAGTATTTGTCAGGTTTCTGAAGTTATAAAAATCCTTCCTCTCTATTCCTGCATACATGCAAATTTGGGGTTTTTTTTGTCTTGTACCTTCAACTTCTGTTTAGAGAATGCTGCAAGAAGAAAAACATAGCCCAGATTAAAACAAGCATTTCTAATTGGTATTTAAACAGAAACAGTAAGACAGTAAGAGTTCTCCCACCTCCCAGGTTTGTGAAAGACATGACATTCATATAAATATACCTTTATGAAAGGAATTTAATCCGCTCAGTTAACGAGTATTTGTCAGGTATTCCATTCAAATATACAAGAGGATATTCACATTTAATTTATATCTGAAGCAATGCAGAAAGCCCCAAAACATGGCATCTCTTAATACAGGGGCTCTGTTTGGTGCTAAAATTTTACCAGTAATTTCAAGCTTTGCCTGCCCCCGTGCCCGCCTCCCCACCCCTCTGAGAAAAGTAGATGCTTCTGCCAGAAGAGAAAGGAGAGCCCTGAAGCTCTGTTAAATAGTGTTATATTAAGAATAGGTGGTTTATTCCAGTATATTCTGGAGATTTTGAGACTTCCCTGTTCCCCTGTGGTGAATCCTCCCTGGATAGAACAGGCTCTGCTGATGAAAGGTATCAAGCGTAATGGAATATAGATGGGATAATCAGCAGGCATAACTCAGTAATCTGAATTTCATCGGCTATGAAATCAACAGCATAATCCTATTGCTGCTGTCAAAACACAAAATGAATTTACAAGTCAGAGCCAGGATGATTGACCCATCAGAGGATAAAGGATTGATGTAATTAGATATTTTTCCAGGTTTAAAATACAAATCTTTTCTTAACCTGTTTTAAGCCTTCTGGATAGGACATTTGACGTAAACAGATCTGTATTTGCAGCACTGAAGCCTTGACTGGGAGGAGAAATGGTGTTTCTTATGTAGCATTGCTGTGAGAACAAATAAAGCATCTTTAGCATCCTAATCAGCAGCCCTTCTCTGCTGCTAAGCAGCATTGTGCTTTTGAATAAGGACCTGGATTCAGCAAACAGGCTGTGTCATGTACAACCTATTTCCTTGGTTTGGGAAGCCACTGCTTTAAGTGACTGGATTTTTGTGTGTGTGTGTGTTGCAGTAAAGAGAGCAGAATGAACGGGCAATACCAGCAGCCGACGGATAGTCTAAACAATGATAATAAGTAAGTGGTACATTCCATGACTCCTATTGTGAAAGGTAGTTGGCTTCTAGAAGGAGATACACAGTCTGCTGTATATCCTGCAGTGCGAAGTGCATTACCATATTTGACAGCACAGTAAGTCTGAACTGTTGCAGAATAAAGCTTCATTCACTACAGTTGCCTACCCTTTCGTGGTTTGTGGCAGCTGACTTTCAGATCTGAAGGTGATAACTCCAGCAATCAGTCTAGGAGCAAAATGAAAAGCTATGGTTACAGTATTAAAAGGCATGGGTTGTTCCTTTAAATAATCCTATTTCTACTGTAATAGCAAAGGGAGTTCCAGAGGACCGAAAGAAAGTTTATACAACACTGACACTCAAAGTCCCAAGTAGATGGCCCCAGTATTTCTGGGGCCTCTAGGTCAGGTGTTGATTCCAGTCAGAATAAATGACAGGCTGATACGGGACTTGCTCGAGAATGTAAAGGGAGTGTAACTGAAACCAACATCCATACCTTTATGGGAATAGAGATGGTCACACAAACCTCATCTTTTTTTTTTTTTTTTTTAATAAGGTTACAAGTTTGGTTGCTACGGTCATGTGCTGGTGTTAGTGTATTTAAATTCTTCAAAGCACTTCATTTGGCACTAAAAGTTTCATTCGGAAACTGGAATCGCACAACAGATAGATTTAAAAAAGGGCTAACTGGTCTTAGTGCAGTTGTCATGCAAGCAGATACCAGGCAGGCGTTACGTGTGGTCCTATAGTGACTGAATCATTAGATGTATGGTGTTTAATAGTGTTATCAAAGATTTGAAAGAAGACACAACTGATTACTTTTGAGGCTTGCACATGACTTAAGTTGGTGAAGTTGTTGGTGATGAAGAGGATGAGGTAATGAGAGCAGAGGCATCTGGGCTGCTTAGTAAGCTGGATGCCAGTAAACAGCTGGGGCAATCTTAGAATCCCCCATCTAGGACTGAAGAGTGGTGTCCATCCTAGTCGGATTAAAGGACTCCCCTGGGAAGAGGGTGGCTTTACACATCAGTGGCTCTGTAGATAGTCAACTGAATAGGTGCCTTGTTGCAGCACCACAGTGTCAAAAGAGCTCTGTGAAATTTGAACGTAAATAGGACAATATCAGGTGAGATTAGAGAGATTATTTTACCACTGTACAGCTGTGTTTGTATCCCAGTTTGAGGATAGCATTTTAAGAAAGAGTTAAAGAGAATGGAGAACATTTGAAAAAGAGACACAAGTATATTTAAGACTGGAAACAAAATCTTACCTTAGAACAAAAGAGCCAAGGACTTCAGTCTTCTCCTTTTTAAGAAAAGAAAATGAAAAAAAAAAAAAAGTTAAGAGCAACTTGATCAGTCTATCAGTATTTCTCTTTGGAACAGAGATGCAGCTGCTAGTTTTCAGGCTAGCAGGCAAATGCACAGCAGCATCTGAAAGCTGGAAGTTGAGGCTAGATATATTCAGTATTTCAAAATAGGTACAGACTTCCCAGATTAAGGACAGTTATTCAGTACAGCAATTTATCACTGGAAATATTTAAGATTAGCTATATTTAAAATTGCCTCCTTCCCCATACCCATACCTCAGATGCATTTTTCTGGTTCACTAGAGTAACTAATTCAGGGAAATAGAAGGTCAGACTAGGTAATCAGTGGTCCTCTTCAGGAATGCATCAATATTGATCTATTTTAGAAGAAAAATGTTTGGAAGCCAATATTGGTAAAGCTGACAGGTGTCATCAGACTGGAGTGTTGCAGTAATAGCAAGACAGAAAAAGAAAAAATGTGGTTCTTTTCCCTGGGTGAGGATGCCCTCTTCCCAGTTAATTTTAGGAGCTGGTGTTTTATTGATGGATCAGATCCTTTACTGTTTCTGTAAGTGTTTATAAACACAAGCTTCTGCCTGTCTAAAATGTCAGTTGTTTTTCTCCTTTTGATCCACTGATTCATTAACTCTTTTCTGTACCAGGTATTCCTTGTTTGCAGTAGTTAATCACCAGGGAACCTTGGAGAGTGGGCACTATACTAGCTTCATCCGGCAGCACAAGGACCAGTGGTTCAAGTGTGATGATGCCATTATCACCAAGGCTAGCATTAAGGATGTGCTAGACAGTGAAGGGTAAGTTGTGAACTGGAAAGGGGAAAGGAAGGGAAACTTTGACCTTTGGGTTTTCCTTACTTTCAGTTAAAAGACCCTTCCATCATAGAGAAGACTTAATTTCTCTCTTTGTGAATATCTAATGTGTCTCTCTGTGTATGTATCGGTGCTTCAGAATGTTGCTTTATAGTCCTGGATTTGTTGTAAGAAGAAGAGGGGAAAGATGAGGGACATCAGCTGACTCTGCAGTGTCTGTAACTGGTGCTCATATCCAAACTCTTGCTTGCTAATGGAAGGGACTCTGACAACCAAAGTGATACGATTGTCCGGTGTAGGAGCAATATTTACCTCCATTACACAATCCAGTCTTTGTCGGCAGAACCTTTGGATTACTATGATTGTAAAAGATTTGAAGAAAAGCCATTAAGAAAATATTGTGAACCAGAGTGGCAAGGCTGTATGGGAGGCAGGTATAGAACATGGGCTGTTTCTTAGCTCATGGCTTTAAATTGATTTCAGATTGATATTATGCTTTCAGATATTTGCATTAGCCAGGTATTGGGAGTAGAGAGCATTAGTTTGCAAGGGAAGCATCGTGGTGTTCCTCACTTGAGGGAAACATTGGGGACTAGCATACATTTCAAGAACAAGGTGACTTAAAGTCTGAAGTCTTCATTTTGCATTTTCAACTATGGACTTGGTACTGGAAAGATAAGCCTGTATCATTCTTGTTTTAATTATTCCTGACACTTCCATTGATTGCTGCAGGCACAGATGTTCAGTTTGTAATTTTTTAAACAGAATTTCCCCATTTTTTCATTTTTTGAACTTCAGGGAGTAAAAAAAAAAATCTATAATATCTGAATTTTAGTGTTAAATGATTTGACAAAGTAAATTCTGCTTTGAGGTCAGCAGAAAAGTGAGTTTGTTTTTCTTCAATAGCAAGTGGCTAGCTCTGGTCCTCACATGGGGTATGTCTGTGGAAGAAACTGTCATAGGCAAGGAGGAGAGGGTATGCGACGCAACTGCTGCCCATCCGTCTCATTAAAGGCTGGTTTGAGCTCACATCCATTTTCCCTGGTTCAGATAAAGGCTGACGCTAAGTAGATCTGCATTGTATACTGGAAGCTTCATAGGGCGTGAGATGGAATGGTAATAATTGGAAAGTCTCAAAAGTGCTTTGAAGCATTCTGAGTCGTGCAGTGACCCTGCCAGTGTGTGGCGTGTAAAGAGTACATAGAGATGAGCCCGCTTCCCTCCGACATGTAACTGCTCCGGGGCTGGGCACCATTATTTAGCAGTACGCATAAAGTAATTAAGGACAGGAAGAATTTCATCCTATTAAAACACCAGATTTGCGTACAGATTGAGACATTAGATATTTGAGTTGGATTTGATTGGGATTTGTTTGAGTTTTCAACCCCGTGCCTGGTTCTTTATTTTGCTTCTGTAGCAGTAAATGGCAGACAGTTTGCAATAATCCTAAGTGTCTGATGCTTTGGTAATGTGACTCTAAAGCAGCAGTTGCATCTTAAAGCCCCTCAGTTGCATGTTGTGTCGTGATAGTGTTAAATGGGTGCTGCCTGTCTGGGCAGCAACACGGTCCAATCTTCAGAGCTTTCGAGTTCTAAATGATTGCACAACAAGAGGGTTTGACTGTTTGATGTGCAACTGTTCAGTTTCCTGAGTTGCTGGTAAAATGATTTCACCTGGCTTCCCTCCTTCTCATCCATGGTTGCTGTAGGGAACTGGCATGTCCCTGGAATCACTTCAAATTGAAAAGAAAACCAAAATTAATAGTACTCATATTTTTTTTTATCATCGCATCAATGGAAATACTAATCTGCTCCGACGCATAGCAGAAAGCTGAAACTGTACCTCTGCTTTCTTGCAGATATTTGCTGTTCTATCACAAACAGTTCCTGGAGTATGAATAGCCTTATCCAGCAGCTTGTCAGATATAAACAAGGAAGAAAATAAGCAAGCCTTCTGAATCGACACACAAACCTACCTGAAATGAAAAGACCCATTAAAAAACAACTAGCACTGAGCTGTAACAGGACCTACTTGACACTGAATCAAAGCCTGGCGGAGTAAGAAATGAACAATGTCCAACGTGTATGCAGTCCCGCAAGGACAGAAAGGGGGAAAAAAAGAGGCTACAGTCAGTCACTTAACAGAGGAAATATAAAATGAAAGGAATGCTCTGGGTGGGGGAAATGGGAGCAGAGGAGTCCGGGCACTGGTACGTCTCCTATGTTCCTCCAAAATGTGTGTGGGAAGGCAAGGAGTTACACCCTCATCTCCATAAAGTATCTTCTCCATTTGGTGCTTCAGCTCCAACGACCAATCATATAACAGTTAAGATTAAAAATCCAAGCCCATTTTTTTATGCATATGGGTCTGAAAGCAGTAGAGTGGAGGAGGAGGGGATGACACAACTAAAGGACTTTGCAAGTATCTTTTTATTTGTGAATTTTAGTTATTAAATAAATACAGTATGAAACTATTAGGCTCTTTTTTTTCAACAACCATAAAAGAAATCCTGGATTGTGGAACTGAAGCTACAGTACTAAGACAGGTTTTCAAGCATGCCTGCTTGCACAGGTAATGTTTAATGCCATCGGACTGCTCATCAAAAGCATCAGCACAGATTATTTTCTGTTTGAGCCCTTTTTTGTTTTGTTTTCTATAAATAGCTATTTTCTTAATTTTTTTCCTTTTATTCCCTTTTTCACGAGAATGAAATTCATAAATGCAACCATCAGTAAAAATGAATGAATTGGCGTGTTTATACTGTAAGAGTGGTCTTGGTTCTTTTTTTAAATCTTGTGAATAAGTTTGAATTTCTCAAAATTGCTTGTTTTGTTGTTGCTGTTTTTGGTTTGGGTTTTTTTTTTTTCCCCTGCTGCCTTCCGAAGGCATATCTATGACACTTGAAAGAACCTCAGTATTGAAAAATGTACCATCTGTTAGAAACGGCTGCTGCTGGGGGCAGCACTGAGCGACAGATCTGCTGCTATTGAGCACTTCTGCAGTGCACTCCGATTTTAAGTAAACACCACATTTTCCTGGTATGAGCTAGGCTGGTATTGGTTCCTTGTATCCTCCCACGCGTATTAACTCCTCACGTACTCTCCTCCTCCTTGCAGAATCACAGCCTCGGTGTCCGTAGCTTGCAGCTCTTGGTGCGCCAGCTTACTCTTGCTTTGTCACAAATGCAGTTTGGCTCCGTTTCTCCCCCTCCGCCGCTGTCTTTCAAAAAGCAGCTCGTTGGCTTGGCGAGGTACCGGCGGTAACGGCTGGTGTGCTCTGTCTTGCTCTCAGGAGGCTGGGCTGTGGATTGAATTGCAGCCTGTGAGAGAAACCATTCAGAACATAGAGCTTAAAGGAGCAAGAACAGCTTTGTTCTCCCTTCCTTATGGAACCTCTAGGGAGCTATGTGTACGAGTTAGGCACTGTATAGATTGGTGTAAGAGCCGCACCAAAAAGATCATTAAGCTCTGCATATGTATCCAGACAGCCGTTCTTTGACTTTACCAGTGTGGTTAAAAACATGGATGGGTCTCACCTTTTAGATTCCGTGCTCTAGAAATGAGTTACAGGTATCTAACCTGCCAGAGACAGAGGTGGAAGGCGATCCGATTAGCAGAAGAAATAGGAAGAAAATCAGGGAAGCGGATTTGTTTGGTTTTTAAATGAGGCTCTTCCAAGAGCAGCTGAACAAAAGGACGGTGGAATTGCATTCGATTTGTGCACAAACTGGAAGAGTACAAGGCAGTTTTGTACATCAAGAGATTTCTGCAACAGCTTGCAACAGGGAAGGAAGAAGGGAGAACTAATTGAAGCACCTTGAATACCAAATCAGACATAGAAAATGTACCGAACAGTGTGGGAGTTACCTAGGCAGCCTGGGTGCTGCAGAAGCGATAGCGTACTCTGGTTTTGTAACCTGTCTTTTCCCTATCATCACGCGTGAAATAATTTTTGAATTGTAATTGGGTGCTGCAAGATTTAACCTGTGCGTTCTTGTCGCAAATGAAAAAATGGCTGGAGAGACGCAGACGAATGGCGCACCCGCAGGAAAGGGGGCCCCTCCCTCCCCGAATCGGGCACGGTATCGTGCAGATGCTTGACGCCGCTTTCTGCTACCTTTTAATAATGCAGCAAGCTTGCAGAGGAGGACGAGAAATCAGCCTTTCATTATTCCCAGGGCTGCTGCAGTTGGCGTCCCCACCTTGTCCCGTTGCTGGAGGAGGAGTGCCACCGCGCGGCAGATGGGTTTGGCGGTGCGGGGATGCCTGCGCTTTGTGGTGCCGAAGTCTGAGCCTTTGGCAGCTTTTTTTTTTTTTTTTTTTTTTTAAATGCTGGAGCCTGAACAAATGAATTCTGTTTTCCACTAGCACGCGCTTGGCCACCGGAGCTAATGCAGTCTGTTTTGTTAATCCTTTAGAAACAAATTGTTTAGGGACGATGCCAGCCGTATAAATCAGCCGTAATTTTTTTTTTTTTTCCCCCCACCCCTGTAAGGCTGGTGAAGAGGGCTGTGCTCTGTGCAACTGCGCCGGTGCAGATGGTTTTCAGTGGGAGATGGAGAGCGAGGTAGATTTCAGTGCTCTCGTTTCTGATTTCAAAAGCAGAATTCCTGGTGTATTAAAAGCTCTTATTATTTTCTTCCTCCTGCCATCCCACCCCCTGTGTCTCTCCCTGAATCGTACCCGGCAGGTTTCTATTTCCAGTAACAGTAAATCAGCCCAGGTTGCTCGAGGAGGAGAAAGCGTTTTCTCTCTTCTATAAAAATGGAAGAGCAGCTGCTGTCGTACGAGCAGCGCTGCCCCTCATGATGCTTTTTCTCAAGCACAGCCTTCTCTTGCGCTTCATCTCTTCAGAAGCAGCCATGCAGCTCCTGCACTGGGTTTATTCCCTGCAGAACCCGGGAGGTTTCTCTGTGCAGAACTCTCTTAATGTCACCTTTAGGAAAACACCGGCCACAAAGCGCCTTGCGGTGCAGCGAGATGCTAACGAATGGCTGATGAGGTTGTGCCTCCCTAATGTGCTGGCAGAGAGGGGCGCGAGGCTGCCTCCTCCGTGAGGGATGACTGCGCCGCTGCAGCTGCTGACCTGCGTTTCGGGGAGCAGTTTGGGGTTGACTTGTTTATTTTGAGGTACGGTTCTGTATCGGCGCAGCTTGGTCTGTCGCGAGGGAGCCTGTGCAGAAATGACTGAAAACACAGGCTGGTGCAGTGATGCAGGCTCACGTTGGAGTGTGCGTTCTGTTATCTGCCAGCAATGAATGCGGCTCTACATGGGGCACAAAAATAGCCAGAAAGTGGCTTTTGGTGTAATACTTTCTTGTCCCTCAGCCACTTGACCACAGCAAAAGCTGTACTTGATGCTGGTACCTAACAAAAACCTGAGCAAAAGCAGAAATGTGAGAATTTATTAACCCCCCAGGGGGATGCTCTTGCTCCAAATCAATGCCCTTAATTCCATGTAGTTTTAACTTGTCCCAGCTGTAACTGTTTGTGTCCCACACTGACCGTGTCCTGCTAATATTCGAAGTGATGTCTCCAGGTGTGCTCCGTCAGAGCTGTTGGCCAGAGGCTGCAAATGTGATACCAAATCCATCGATTCCTCTTGGCTCTCCGGCTTCTAAGGGTTGTATCTGGGAGCCTGTGTATTCTCACTGCTGATTTGTTCAAGTTGCTCCCTGTTACCTTTTCTTTTATATGCTGATAACAGTAGTCGCATTCCCCAAAGGCGGGGAGGGCACGTCTGTGAGGGTGAGGAGTGTGAGGGTGAGGAGCGCTCCCCTCTCGCCTGTCGGGGCAGGAGGGAAGGACTTGGCTTCTGGTGACGCCATTTTCCCCAGTTTCTGGGATGCAAATGGTGCTGGCTGCTGTGGGGTGTTGCTGCTTCCTCCATCTACTGCGGCGAGCGGTGGAGAACCTGGAGAAGCGCGGCGCAGCAGCCTGGGCAGCGTGGCGGCGGGAGGGAC